TTTGGTAGGTTGAGCTATAGTTTCTTTTTGCGTGAAGACCAACGCAAAGTATGAGTTAAGTAGCTCTGCTTTCTCTCTGCTGCCTGTTACTTCCTTGCTGTCTTCTTTCTTTAGTGGAGCAACTGTGTCCTTGGTTTTGTTTTTCCGTAATTTATATTCTGCCTTAGTTATGTATCCCTCTTTCCATTTTTTTTACTTGTCCCTTTTGTCTTTCAATTTGTCAGAGAGATCTTTGTGAAGCTATGCTGATTTCTTCTTGGATTTCTTCTTTTTCAGTGGTATTGCGCTGGACTGGGCTTTTATGATNCTGCATCATCTCCAAGGCAAGAATTGCTTAAATGAAATGAATCTAAATCACTTTGCACATGCCAATTATAGATCAATATGATATTGGCCCTTAATTAGTTTTGCTTCATGGATCCCTATGAGGTTTTTGATTATTCACTGATTATTTTAATAAATTATATATTTTTAATTCTCTGCCTGCAATATTGATGATTCCCGCTGAGATTCTGCCTGAATTGGAGTAGGTTATAAATATGGTTAAATAAATGAATAAATGAAATAAAATATTTAGAGAGAATAATGATTGCATTTTTCATCCTTTCATATTGGAAATGTGGTTCATTTCAAGAAGATAAAAGCCATCAATAATAAACATCAAAATGAATTTCCACTTTTAAAACTATTATAGTATAGATTAATGCTGTAATAGTATATAGGAATGATTTAACTATTATAGTATTAGAATATTAAGTATTAGTATTGAATATTAAGAAGGTAAAGCTAGCAATTTTCAAAAATGTAAATTTTAAAATAATTATTTGATATTTTGCATTTGATTTCCACCTGACTGTTCACATTATTTTCCTCTGTAGTTACGTGTACAGCAAATCAAGATTATACATCTAATGAAGTTTCCATATAGACAATACAGCAGCCATATGTAGATTGAGTAAGCTTCCCCTCAGCATGAAATCCCTCCACAAGTTTGAATTGAAACAGATGTTGAATGAGTTCAATTAAATTAGCTACAATGTTTTCCTTCTCTAGCATTCAAAGCAGCCACTTGCCTATCTGCAGGCATAGATACATTTTCATTCCAGCCATAATTTGGTGTTTGAAGTATCATTAGAACTTGAATCCAGTTTAATAAAATGTGTTTTTCTCCTTAATACGCATAACTTGCTCAAATTCCGTAGTATATAATAGGACTGCATGAGGAATTTGTTTAGAAGGGCCCTTCCCAGAGATGCCGCACAATTATTTTATTGTTCATCTTAGACAGAACATTTGATTTAATTGCCAGCTCAATGACAAGCCAGAGTGAATAATTCCTTTGTTTTTTGTCTTTAGTTCATATACCTTCTGGATTTAACAGAGAAGCCTTGTTTTGTATTCAAACTTCCCCTGAATCTGTCTCTATCAATTAACTGACTGCATCAACATTTTGAGGGATTCAGTAGTGGTAGAGACCAAAGACAGTGAACATTTTAGCTCTTTCAATTTAGAGATAATCACTATTTATTTTTTCTGCAGGAGAGCTTTATAGAAATTAATTCATCTTTCTTTCTCTGCCTCATTTGTCATCTGTTTCTTCGTGTAATGAAAGTTTGATTATTAAAATTGCCCTTGGAAAATATAGCAGTAGCACTTTCTAATCATGGGTATCTGTAATACAATCAATCCAGTAGCACCTAAACTATCAGTGCCATCTCACTGGCACAAGGGGGCCCATACAATCAGAGTATAGCATACATCAAAAGCAGGCAGAGGGTTAGGAAGCAATGGAAGCACATGAAAACGTGCATGTAGTACTCTGACTTGTGAGACTGATAAATAATCTTATGGCAAAAGCTCTCCTCATAGTCATCAGCTTTAGATTTGTTAGATGTTGAATGTTTGAATGTTGAATGTTTATTTTATTTATATGCCNAAGAAGAAATATAAATTCAAATAAAAATTACTGGGAAAAACCTCAAAAAGTTCAGAGATGCTAATGATATTATTTGGATGGAAACAGGGAAGAGTTGAGGAATTTCTTGTTGATTCTGCTGCTCCGTATTAAAATGAAAGCAAAAACAACAACAACAACATTCAAATAGGTGAAAGAAAAGTTTGCTGGTTGGTGGTTCTGATTTAGAGCTTTAATTTAGATGCTCAAGTTGACCTACATGGCTCTCTCTTTTCCTATTCTTTCTCCAAAGCAATAATTGTGTCAGATGCTAATCTCTTCCATTTCTAGTCACAAGCCTTAACCAATGAACAGATTTTATCTTCCTGGACACAAAATGTTGATAACTATAGACATGAAAAGATACATCTGATACTTCAGAGGAGGACTATTAAATATAGTTAAATATTTTAGCCACATAATCCAAGGATAGTGGTCATTGGGGAAGGCATTGATGCTTGGAAAAATCAAAGGCAATCATAGAAGAGGTTGACAGAAAATAAAGAGGTTAGATTATTTCATTAATGAAATAAGCATCAGCTTATTAAAAACTCACTTTTGATAGACAGTCCTGGCAAAAGAATATCCACTGGGTCATGAAGAGATGGAAAAAATTAAATGACTGAACAAAATCAAAACTTTTAATATAAAACCAACCTAAGCTTTCTGTATTTATGAAAATGCCAGTCAGCCAGAAAATAGATCATATAGAAAGGGTATAGCTGAAAAAAACCCTTCTAAATGCTGAGGGCTACAGTAACTGTTATCTCCAATTCCACCCCTCATGATGTTTAAAATCCAGCATGAAAATGAATTTTTATGAGCTTGAAAGCTTTCTCATGTTTTGGAAACATTTTATTTGAGAATGTATGTGAAAATGGCTGCCCACTCAATTCCAAGCGATTACTCTAATTAGCTAGTTATAATTTTAATTTTAATGGAAAATAGATTAGTGGTGTAATATTACTAAGCCAGAGATAAGAAAAAAGATAATTTCAGCTTTTCTCACTGGTTACTTACTGGTTGGTCCGCCCTATTGATTCCAATAAGGAAGAGAAGTTCTGCCACAAACAAGCTGATGCACAAGTTTTTATGGATAGTGTTCCTGTCACTTTGGAGTCCACGGAAGAAGCAGAAAGTAAAAATGCAGATCAGGAGGCAGACAAGGGACAGAAGAATGCCGACCCAAGTGATGACATCCAGGATCAGATCATGGACTGCATCTCCATGCTGCAAATAATTCAAAAAATATTTATCAATTATATATTGACTTTCAAAATCTAAGAAAGCTCAGTCTAATTGAAACACTTTTGACAGTCTCCATTCTTCTCTCACAAATGTATTGTGTGCATATTAATATCATTGCAGATTATGTTAATTGTTTGTTTGCATTCCCCCCCCCCAGATTTGTTTTGTTTAAAAATTAGTATCCTGAAGAGTATCATCTGAGTTTTGATCTCAGCTACACAAAGACAATGAACATAAAAGGCACATATTATAGATTAATAGCATTAGTAGTCTAGATCAATCTGAGCTGCAGAATGAGACTTAAAGTGGGGTTCTTTGCTTTGGCAAACTTTTAAATAAAACAAGCTTCTTCAAAAACAAAGCAACCATGAGCTCTCCTTAGACTTCACCTATATTGCTTGCACTATGGGAGAAAACAAAACGAAGCCTTTTTTAGAAAGTAGTGCAGGAGAAGTCTGAGAGGAATTTTCTGAAAGTTTCTGAGGGTGCAACACCCTCGTTATGTTCTGAAGGTCTGCTACGTGGACAACTTTGAACTGTGAGATCTTGAAGTTATCTGGCCTGGAATACTTTCAGCCAGGGTTGCAGGGAAATCCTGAGAGGGTTTTTCTCCCACTGAAGCTAGNGGGGTTGATGGTAAGATGAATTGATGTAAACATTTAATAATATAATACGATGTTGGTTATGTAATAGTATACATGTGATTATATGTTATGAAAATGAAAAATAAAAAACTTTACAAAAAAAAAACACTTGATAAGGACACCAGTCAGATGTAAATCTGGATCAGCCAGAAATATTGTGATTCTCAACTTTAAGCAAGAAACCCAGAAATATCTATGACCCAAGGTATCAGCCAAAAGTCTTCTGCTCCTTTGTAAAGAAAAGCCCTTTGAGGCTTTTCTGTGTACTTAGACAAATAATGAACAGTCTACTGACAAACAACATACAAAATGCCTGGCCAAAGAAGAGGGTTAAAAAAGATATTCTGCAATAGGAAAGGACTGTGTGTCATCAGAAATATTTAAGAAATTCAGATTTTTGATGTCCTTGAGATGAGCATACCATGATGGATTTATACAGTAATGTATCTAGAGATCTACCATATTTTAAATATTTTAAATAGTCCTGCCAATACATGCAGATAAAATCCTTCATTAATAAATTTCATGCTGCCAATGGCAAGCTGGACACCAAGATTCAATACTGTTGTGCCAATTCTAAAGAGTAGGCAAAATGAGGACAGACCACCTTTGAAAAGCAGTCCAATGTTAGTTCTGGAGACAACAGTTCTCAGTATATGGATGTGACATTTCTTCAGCACTCAATGTCATTTTATTGCTTTCAACACAGAGAATACAATTTCTGTCCCATTTAACACATTGGTGGGCTCTGTGGAATATAATTCACAGATGTCAAAATGTTCTAATAAATGACTAATTATGAGTGATAAAATTTGTTATCAATTATTCACTGTGCTTTGGAAATTGGCTCAAAGCTCTGTTGATTAAAAAAGTAAAACTAGTGTAGAGATTGAACTGCACTGCTTCCTTGGCATATTTTTTACTTAATATCATGTTTTGATATTTGTAGGTTCCATGCTCTCTTAACCCTGGGCACGTTTTTATTTTTCTAAAGTGGAAAATGGTTGTTCCATACAGAGTCTATAAACTTACCTTTACTAAAATGCCTTTTGGGTCTATTTAGTTACAATTGTCTCTGTTCAGTCCATATGCACTCCTACTGGTGTTTCAGATTCCCCTCCCAAACCACAAATGGGACACAAAATGAAACTCACACTTTTCCAGTGCCATAGCTTTTGTAGTCTACAACTGCCGAAACAGCTACAATGACAGCAGGCATGCCATAGCCAACCAAATAGAAGTATTTTCTACGTGAATGTTCACTCTCGAAGACTTCCACCAACATTATGTAGAGCTGTACACCTTCCAAAAACATCCAAGTGAAAGCAGAGAGGAAGAAGAAATGCAGGAGAGCGGCAAACACAGCACAGGCTATCTGGGAGAACAAAAAAGACAACGTAGAACAGTAGTTATGTTTGTACATCGATTAAAGGTGGGTGCAAATAATGCAGTTAGATGAGCCTTCTGCTATTTACATATTAAACTGGAGCTATAAATGTATAAATGCTCTTGTGATTTATTTATTCTTTATTTTCAGGATTCAACCATTTAATTATTGTTGTAAAGAAAAATGCCGTTATACCATTATGATGTCTTACATATGTGTATCAGTATCAGACTAAACTACTTGGCTTGTTTAGATGTATATGCCAATTCACATATTTACATGTGTTCAGTTGGATTTTGGAATGAGTGATCTTTTTAAAATTATAATGCACACTGCAAAACCATGCATTCTGCTTTCAACAATTTCTAAAGTAGAAAGAGGTTGCTGAAAAATAACCACACAACTTTTCAATTTTTTCTCCAGAAAATCAGTAGTTTGGTTGATACACTTGTCTCCAAGCACATGGATAGGCATTGCCATTTCTAAGGGTCTTACTATACAGAGAATGAACAAGTTTGCAAATAAAGAATGGTGAGAAATCCTATAAATGCAGTAAAGCAGGCTTTGCTACATATTCAAAGTTAAATATTTGCAAGGAAAGAAGTAGACAAGTTTCTCCTTTACTCTCACCTTTGAATTAAAGACCTCAAGACACATATCTGAGAGAGTTTGGGGAGATGCTGTAATTTATCTGCTTTATTACTACCGCCATTTGCCTCAAATATGCCTCATGTAAAATCTGGTTTATTGGGAAACTCCAACTTCTTTTTTTGGTGTGTTCATGTAAGTGTCGACACCCAATGACTGTCTGGAGAAGTTTCTGCAGGTTTGTTGTAAGATTTCAGAAGTGGTTTGTCCTTCCCTGCTTCCTAGGGCTGAGCCTGTCTAAGTGGGGACTGGAATTCATAGTCTCATGACTTCTAGCCTGATGCCTTCATTTCTACACCAAACTCTCTCTCTCGGGGGAAATAGGAACCCGGTTATGCTACATCATAATAAAAACAAGCTTTGTTTTCAAACTGTACTTTACCAATAATAAATCCTTCCAAATGTTGCCAAGAAAAGTGCAAGACCTTATGTCTAGGCACAGTTGCTAGAAGTCAACATTGGTATGAAGACACACAAACAAAAATACTAAAAGAAATAAGGAAGTGCTTCAGAATATGAAACAGAGGAACTACGCACTTTAGTTGATGTATTGCAAGAAAATGACTAGAAACAGCCATTTTGGACATTATGCATTCTTAAGATAGAAATTGATAAAAAATATTGAAAGTCTGAGCTAGATAATAGTTAAGACACAAGGCTAAAGGCTTAAAACAAAAACTGTAATGGTTAAATATAATGACATGCCATTATCCAATTTAAGGATAATACCATGGTAATGGAACTTCAGATAAAGAATTCTGGAATATAATCAGCAGTGTGATGTAGCTACAAAAAGGACAATTCATTTTTTAAAACCCCGAACCAACAAATGATTTCCAAATCAAGATATCGGTAAGTAACTGCTCCATTTTATTTTGCATTGGTCCGGACAACTCCTTATTTCCAATTCTGAATGGAATAGGTACAGAGAAGAGCAAAAAAAAAAGATCAGGTCCTACAGGGAGAGAATCAACTCTCCAAAGAGGTTATGAGTCCAAAAGCTTGGAAGAATAAGCTCTGGTTCTGGTGACCAATTCAGAGTGGATCCTCAAATGGGTTCCATGTTTGTGTTTGGCTTTCCAATACCACATCAGGTCAGGAATTTTCCTGGCTTCTCATACTATTATTAAATCCCAAATAAAGGAATCCTGAGGGAGTTTTCCCAGACATTGTGCTACTATCATCATTAATGAGGAATCCCACCTTTGAGACATTTTTGGAAAATTTCCCTGTCACTCAGTTTCTTGGCCCACAAATTTGGTGGGCACTTTTAAAAAGAAATTTGTATCTAATAATCTAGTAAAACTAGTAAAACTAGAATTGAATATCATCAGTAATTTTCCTATTTAAAATGGGAAGAGATATGTATGCTGTATGTGCACTTAACAATTGTTTGAGTAATCCCTTCTGAATTGTAGCATTTGTCAAGTATAAGACAGGATATTTAATGATGAATAAGCAACTGTATATAAGAGTTTTTAATCACTGAATTGTATTTCAATATTCCTCAACTGTGCTATAAAACAGCTGTTTTCTAAATGTCATGTATATGCAAATGCTTAATGAAGTAGGGCATCTATTATATTATGTGTCTGAGATACATTATAGTTCCAACTTGATGTAATATTTAGCATCCTAATTTTCTTAAGTTTTGTAGCAGCTGGAAGAGACTTGTTACAAAGGCTTGGTTGCTTTTAGTAGCCTGGGCAAGTTCCTGGCATTGGCACTGCTTTTATTTGGCTACATATCAGATGCTAACCAAAAGTATCTAGTGGTGTGAACTTTATTGTACCTAGATACTGAAGGCTGATAATTCTGTTGCACTTAGTGGAAATTAGCATAAATGGAACCGGAATGAACTCCATCATATACTTGGAAATGTGCCCCAAATTAGATAAATGTCATATTTATCTCTCAACATGCAAATGAAAATAGTAGTAGGAAGCTGTGTTGGATATGGTTGCTGCTTTTGTAAAAATTTGTAAAAATAATAAAGGCGGAATACAAGTAAGCAAGCAAACAAACAGGAGGCTGAAGGGAGCCAGCTACTTCAAAATCATATAGTTGACCAAACGGGACTCTGAGCTCTGATACCTCTGTTCATGAAAACCAAAAGATGCCAATTAACTTTTTTAGAAAAAAAATTCGAGGGGCTGGAATGAGGATAAAATCAAAAAGTCAAAGTTTTGTTTATCTGCTTTTATAGGGAACATACTATTATGAAGAGCACAGTTTCTTTAAAGATTATATAGATAGGACTACATGAGTGAGGGTTTTTCATGAACATTATTTGTCAGTACACTGTAATCCTTTGCAGTGCTTTAACTTTTTGTAGTATTTATCATTACATTTATTGTAAACATATCCATAATTATACATTTAACCTAGCAATATAATAGGGGCAGATCTTGTTCTTGGAGGTGTTTTTCATCCTGAAAAAATTGATCTAAAGACTTTAGAGTCAGATCATTAAAGTTTCAGGAGGCATATTTAATCCAAATAAGCTCTATTTAAAAGTAATTATTTTTCTATAATACATGCCTTGTTTGAAGGAGTACCATCTTGAGTAGGTTGAACCATCTGTTTTAGTTATGAGATACAGTATCTTCTTTAGGTTATTTTTCTTTTCAGTTTGGGACTATGCATAGCACTTAAGTCCAATGTGCTATATCTACAGCATACACAAGAGATAATATAGGCCAAAATAAACTTAGTAAATAAAACAAATTAATAAAAGTTTTTTTAAAAATGCTAATGCCCTTGTTTTGTTCCACTGGAAATTGATAGTTTTCCAAGCTGGATGTTAAACCACAGATAATAGGGATCATATGGAGCTGGGGATAAGGAGCTCTAACAACATATTCTGTAATAGTCATAAAATGGATGAAGGATATATTAAACTACATTGTATACGCCATTTATATACATTTCAGGCTCAACACTGATTTTTTTTAAAAAAATGCTCCCTTTTTTAAGCAGAGATACACACGGTGATTTTTATGAGGGAATCACAAAATTATAGAGTTGGAAACAACCTTCTAGGTCAGCGCTGTCAAATTCCTGGCCTGCAAGCCAGATGCATCACACACTGAAGAGGAGAGATTGAGAGGGAAAGAGCAGCACTCCAATCTGTTCTTGTCCTTCCTGCTTTGAGGAATTAAGACTCAAATTAGCAGCAGCTTCTCTACAGATTGNCCAAAAATGGCCCGTTTTTTTCAAAAATGGGCTGTTTTTTGTCAAAAAAAAAAGAGGGCATGCATAGCCTTTAGGAGGCTTGTAGAGTGCTCCTGGGAGCTGCCCCCCCCAAAACAAGCAAAAACAGTCCATTTTTCGTCAAAAAAAGGGCTTATAGAGTGTTCCTGGGGGACGGGGGGGGGAACAGCCTGTTTTTCATTCATTTTTGCCCTCCCCAGCCCCCAGGAGCACTCTATAAGCCTCCTAAAGGCTATGCACGGCCATTTTGGTGAAGAGGGCGGGGTTACAGAAGGCAAAAAAAATGTATTCAGTGTATAATACGCACCCAGATTTTCAGCCTCTTTTTTGAGGGAAAAGGTGCATCTTATACTTCGAAAAATACGGTAATTTAGCCATCTCCACAAATTCCATCATCCTTGCCAACCATTCTCCACTGTGAACTCTCCCTGTTTTTCTTTTGTAAGCAGTTCTTTAAGGTTTTGCATTCACTGTATCATTTTTGTTTGTTCTATGTCATATTTCAATAACAGTTGAAATACATGTCCTAGTCGATGATCTTATTTTTAAAAAAATAAAGGTTTCAAATTCTGTCATCTTGAGTTCACTCTTTATTCTCCCAATAATTTGCAAACCATGGTAAGTTCCTACCTTCATAGAACAATTCTTGCTTGTCTTTAAATAATTTTATAAATGTATATGCACCATAGTGGCACATCAAATATTTCTTACTGTAGTTGCCCTTGAAGTAAAAAGAAATGATGTAAAGATGTTGGTAAAGGTAAAGATGTTGGGCTTAATTTTGTTTTTAGAAATTTCCATATTTTTAAAAATCAAACTTTAAAATTCTTTTTTTTTTACCCTTAACAAGCCAGCTTCTTCTACAATTAATATTCTACTATTTGGGGATTTTATCTATTTCTGTTATCAATAATAAACAGCTTGCACAACTATGTACAATTTAAAATTAGGAAATGCTAGTCTATCTGTTTCTTCTGAATTTTGCAAAAGATTTGTTAATTATTATTACACCTTCCTATTAACTGCAAATCTTCAAGGTTTTGTCTGAAATTGGAATAGGTGCCATCAGGGGTGGGTTGCTACTGGCATTGTGTGCAAAAAACTAGGAAACTTGGGAAGGGTATTCC